AATTTAGAAAATTCTTAATACTGAACAATTCTTTACAATGGCCTGATAGGAAAAAAAAACATCTTTTCATGGGCTGTGGACAGGGTGGGGAAGGGCTATAGCCCCCCCCCCCCCCACACACACACACTTTTTCTACTACTAGTCTCAATCTTAGCCCCCACTTCTTTTAGGGTGCTCCGCGGTCCTTGTAGATGTTACACGTATATAACCCGCGAAGTTATCTAGTTTCCGTTATTCTCCCCCCACCCCCCACTTTTTCTCAACTAGTCTCAATCTTAGCCCCCCTTTCTTTTAGGGTGCTCCGCGGTCCTTGTAGATGTTACACGTATATAACCCGCGAAGTTATCTAGTTTCCGTTATTCTTTTTTCACGTTAACGACACTCTATCTTCTTGTGTTGGACAGCAAAAGGTTTTTTATGCGCAATGCATAATACTAAAACAATATGAAATATGCATAATACTAAAACAATATTAGTAGGGCACTTGTGCCCGGCTAGAAAAAATAGAGACATTAATAAAGTTATTATTATTACTATCGTACCCTCTCCATGGCGTCCTCATCGTACGCTAAGTAATACAGACACATCGAAACACCGGTAGCAGCAACCGTTGGTCGAGGAACATCTAACAGTCTCTGGACACCACCGTGCGTAACGAACTCTGTGGCAAATTTCTTGTGGCAAAGAAGGGAAGCCAGATACTACAGGCACAAAATAGAGAATACCTATCAGAGGATATTTTTCGGATCGGGGAAAGACATCACGCAATATGTGCGGTCAAAGCACACTCGAATTCACGGCACGGTCACGGCACTCGTGTCACGAAAACGGCACTCGCATCACTGTTTGTTACGTCATTCGCATCACGGACACAGCACTCGCATCATGGTCACAGCACTTCCATCACGGTCACAGTACTCGTATCACGGTCACGGCACTCGCATCACGGTCACGGCATTCGCATCATAGTCACAGTACTCGCATCACGGTCACGGCACTCGCAGTACGCGGTCACGGCACTCGCATCACGGTCATGCCACGCATGACAATTATGACACTCATCACGGTCATGGCACTCAAATCACGGTCACGGCACTCACATCACGGTCACAGCACTTGTATCACGTCACGACACTCGCATCACGGTCACGGCACTTCATAAATATATTAAAGTAAAATTGACTGGAATTTGTGTACATTATCAAAAACATGATATGTAAATGATGCTTTAAAAATACAGAAATGCATAACTATGTAATACCGTTACCTTGAGAGCTTCAAACGAAAGGTGCATGTCGACTGTTCCCTTGAATGCAATGTAATGTATGACCAGATCTAATGCTTTCAGCTCGAAAACGGTGGGAAGAAGCTGCAGAAATAACAGAAACTCGAACTATCAGTAGAAGTTGCCTTATACTGATCAATGCAGACCGTCCCCTTATCGTTGGTTATTCAAGTGACTCGTTTAGCAAACATGAAAACAAGAGCAGTTGTCCCAGAGTACAAAAAAGGTAATGAGTGAGTGCACAGTGAGTGAGTGCGAGCGCACTTTCAGTTTCGTCATTCATATAATTTGTATTTTATAAAAGAAATAAAAGAACTTGCTTGCTGTGCAGTGTGGAATTATAAAGCACTTGGCGATTGGCAAATCAGTTGAGAAGTGTCGAGAAGCACTCCGCTATGCATCATGCTTCTCCTAACACTTCTCTCATGTTCTGCCAGCCCCCACGTGCTTTATACATGTTACTTTATACAGCACACATGCGCGTTTTCTATTTCTTCAAAAATTTTGTTGCATAACATGTCGTACGCCTTAGAACTGGTACATGTAATGATAGACCTGAAGAACAACCTACCTCTTGGTACTCCCCCAGGGGAGTCAGGTACTGGACTATAAGCCTCTGCTGCATGGCAAGAGATAAGGGGTACAAGGAGAATGAAGCAGGAATACAAGAGTATATTTTCTTGGCTGGGAGAAGCTTAAAAGCCTTGGAGGACTTCTGGACTAAGTAATTTTTGCCTGATGGAGTTGACTTAGCTGTACCAAAAATACAAGCATACACACATATATATAAGATAAATAAAGACAACAATAATGAGATGATCATGATACTTCTTATCATGACGATACTGATGATGATGATGGTGATGATGATACTGATGGTACAAAATGTAATTAATGACGATAATACTGATGATGATAGTGATGGAGATGAGGATGAATTGGTGAGGATGATGATAGTGATGAGGATGAATTGGTGATGTTGATRATAATGATGATAGTGAGATGATACTGGTGGCCGGTGATGATATGATAGCAATTGATGGTGATGGTGATGATGACAGTGATGATGCATACTTATTTTTAAATAACACTGTTATCATCACCATCATCATAAACCATCACTATCATTGTTTTCTTAGTGCCTAAAACCAGTAAGAAAACGTGTGCTTATTTGAGAATTGTAATGCAAGAAGCAAACTAAGAATACAAGGTGTAGCATTGTGAGTCTTAAGTGACATAATTAAAATATAATCTATATATATATAGATTTCAGTATTTTATCATTACCTTTTGAGAGACAGTTTGTAGAATGTGAACTGGAGGTAGAGTCAACAGATTCTCCATTTACCGTAGCACCGTTGGTACTTGCCCCACGAGAAGCAACAGCAGAATCTGTAGACATCTTTTTACCCTTGGATGCACCACTCGAACTGCTTCCTGTCCCTTCTGACCTGTTTTTAGTTGTTTTGGACTTGGGAGTTGCTTTGGCAAGGATGTCTTCTACTGCTGGTTGAGTTAGGTCTGTCAAGTCCTTGAGAATATGTAACCTACGGAGCATTCTTGGAACCTACAGGTACATTTCAGAGTTGTCAAGTTTATAAATGACTGTCCCTATGTGCATTCATCATGTTTCTCCAACACTTAATTAATAACTCCATGGCCTATTTATAGCATTGGTTGTAATAAGAAAGAAAAAAAAAAACGTTTACCACAACAGAGTTTTCCTCTCTGTATGAACCAGCAACCTCTTGACTTTCCATTGCAAAACCAAGTAAACCTAAAAATATGTAATTACAGGTATGTATTAGTTTGATAATAACAGAGTATGACTGGTAGATAACAAATATACTTCTTGCCCACGACTCCTCTTTGTTTGTTTGCTGGTGAGGTGAGGTGCAGAAGTTTAAAATTACTAGCTATGAAAATATAAATAAAGTGTAGGACAAAAGCTGTAAATTCTGCATACTTTTTGATCCAGGATCCAGTAAATTAAAGTCCAGTCCAGTCCATCACTACACAGTTATAGTTTTTCCAAAAATGAAAAATATCTCAGAATTAAGAACTTAGAAGAATGAGTCAAGTTTTAAAAGTTGGATATGGTTTTGCTATGCATTAAGATTATCCAAACCCATTAAAAAATGCAAATTTTGCATCAACTTTTTTTTAAATCCGATGATTTAGTTAGCTGAAGTCTAGTCCATCCATTCATGTATGGTTCCGGATTTTCCAAAATGAAAAATCTCTCAAAAATCAAAAATTAAAATCATAAATCAAATTTTAAAGTTTGGGTACGTATTTGCTATGCATAAAGATTATCCATAACCATTAAAAAGGGCAAACTTCGCATAACAATTGTTTTTTGATCTGACGATCCAGTTAACTGAAGTCCAGTCCATTCCATTCATGCACGGTTCCAGACTTTCCAAAATAATAAAACTCTCCAAAAAAACCAAATTTAGAAACACAAATCAAATTTTAAAGGTTGGCCATGTTTTTGCTATACATAAAGATTATCTACACCCATATACTTAATAGAACTTGGAAACAAATGAAAGTCTCAAAAGTACAGTACCTGTAGCATATGACCGCAATGGCTCTTTACCATCCTGTGCCCAGGAAAATAGCCTGTTCAGCAATCCATCCTGGAAAAGAATATAAATAGCCCACTTTTATTTATTTATTTTAATTATACTTAGTTATAAAAAGTACAACTCATTATCACTTATTCATTATTTGCTACTTTCTATTTTTACCCAATGAAAAAAATTTCCAGAATTTTTTTTTCCATTATCTATAGTTAATGCATACATAAGCAGTACAGTAGGAGTAAATAAATCAAAAAGGAAAAATTAAGCTTTCAATCATAAACAAAAAATAGATCAAGAGACCATTTAAAGCCAGAACTGATGCACACTTGTCTTTCCAAACACCTCTTAGGCCATTGTGGCTGGTACAGCCACTGATCTCCCATTATTTTTCATCTACTTTACAGTACTGTATATCATTATTTACATGGGCTCATCCAGAGAGGATTTTGAAAATGGACTTTCTGTTCGAGTTATAGAACATACAATATTGCATTTTATTTTTGTAAATATTGATCACGTAGAATTGAAATACTGAAGTGAATACACATTGAATGTGTGCCACTTTGAAGCCTCATTGTGTGGCTGTGAAGTAAAGTATTTAAGCCATCCGATAAGGGATATTACTAAGATTATCAGACTTTATTTCTTGGTTGTAATTATTATCTATGAAAGGAAAAGGCAAAGAAAGTAATTACGTCTGTGGCACTGTAAAAATGTTGTATAGGACACTAATAAATGAACAAATGCAATTAAAATAGTGTCTTCTTTATTTCCGGGAGTTTGAACTTGAAACCAAGCCAGGAAACACTAGTTTTGAGAACAAAAAAAAGCAACTTCTACTCATTCTACTTTAGGTGGTTGGATAAAAGCAAGGTGATCTAATTAGAGGGTTCGTAGTTGTCATTTAGGGGGTTTGATTATGATTTATGGGGTTTTGAATGAACCCCCCAAGATCAGTTCCTGTCATGTCATCAGAAATATACTTACAGTATCCTGAAAAACCATAGCACTTTCCAGCCCTGGCATGACATTAAGCAGTAGGCGAGCTGCTGTGCAGTTTAGTTCAAAATCCTCTCTGGTACTCATGATGTATGAGACAACTAGTTTATTCATAAACTCATCATTTTTGAACAAGGCCTTGAGAATATGACCAAGAGCACAATCTGGATCTGCTCTCCCTGAAATAGAAAAGAGTCAAATCTTTTTAAAGACATAACTGTATTATTTGTCTTAATTTAATCCTCTAATTCTCTAAAATCTTTAATTTAGTCCAAAATATCCCTCAAGGTATTGGTTTTTTTTAATTATCATTTCAATTATATGATTGATGGTTGAGATGCTAGTCGGTGAATGAGACATCAAACTTTGCAGGTCACACTTGAACGATAATGGTAGTAACTTAGTCAAACCTTTGCTGGTACACATACCAATACTTCCTACTGTGGCATGTACATACCTGGATGCCTGTCATCAAAAGGATCTGGGTCTAGTTTGTGATAAGCATCATTCTCACGTTCCAGAAGTTCTGACATCCTGAAATAAAATTATTAGAAATGTTTTATACTTATTCTCAGGTACATGCAATATCCTATTCAAATACCAGTTGCTTATATAAGGGTTCACTCATCACACACAAAGCATTCAATCAAGGTACTTTCAAAGGATTATTCAAATTTGAAACTTCCAGCCTTGACTGAATGCTTTGCATTTGACCAATGAACTGATGTAATGGGATAGTAATGATAAAAGGGCCGGAGTAAAAGAGTTTGGGATGTGGGGAATAATTCACAACAAAGTTATTAGACATCAAAAATCAAAATATCAGGGCTTAAACTAACTGCCTCTCAGTCAACCGTCACAATCACCAGCCAAATTAGTTTTAGAGCTTAGTAACACCTCATTTCTGGCTCAATGTTACTGGTCATGATGACCAGCAAGGCAAAGATTTGACCATACAAGTGCCAATTCCGGCTAGACATTGTCCAACGACAATTGTGAGTTGAGAGTAACATTGTATGTTAAGAACATTACTGCGGTTTTCGATATTCTGCAAACTTGGTAATTGTATAATTTAGTTTTTCACTGCTGTCAACCAAAATAATTAGTCATTACCTTTTATGTGCTTGACTGGGGGCAGTGAAAAACAATTTTCATAACAAGCCCTTGGAATGCTGAGTTAGCAGAATATCGAAAACAGCAGTAAATGTAGTCTCATATGAGACTTGGTAGCTCAGTGGTTAAAGCATGGCACTGGAATGGCCAGGGCATGGGATTAAATCCCATTCAAGACTCAGAATTTTTTTCGAGTCTCATAATTAGCTTGATATACTGTGCAAATCAGCTCAATTAGATACATTATTACAGCAGTACAAATATATATTCTATATATAAGCTTATTCTCATATACAAGTAAATGTAGTGGTAGTGAGAGTGTAGTTTGTTTTTAACTGTCTAGGGAGACTCAGCAACAACTCCCCATATTACGACATAAAATATAAACAAACAATTATTTATTTCTTTATTTTATCCCTAAATGGAATTATGGAGTCATGGGAATTCGAAAGGGAATTTGAATGGGAACGATTTGTTTTCTACTATCTCGTACATACCTGTTCAAAGTTTCAGTTGGGGATCTCCTTTCTTCCTCATCTTTCTTCCACTGATCCAGCAGTGTGCTGATCTCTGCAGCACTGTCTAGAGCAGCCATTGTTTCACGATAACTTGATATCGTTTCAAAATCCTCTATTTTCAAGCATGTGTTGAAATCATGTTTAGATGGAAGGCACTGTGACTCTCAAATAACTTGGTCTTCAAAAATCCTAGCAAAATTGTCTTTAGCACCGATGTTCTAGTCTTGTCTCCTAGATATCGATATGTAGTCCCTATGGTCAAATCATCTGTTTTCTCCGTAGAATTCCTTCATTTTTCGCAATAATTCACAACTTGATTCAACAACAACATTCGCCATGTGAGTTAACTAACACGAGCCCACTAGGAATATGGACAGCGGGTATCAGCTATTGACCAGGGACTTTCGTTCATGCCATGCCACAGGGAACCCATGCGGAATAGTAATAAAAGGGTTCTYCCATCCTTCCTTTTTCTCGTAATGTTTTCCTTTCTTTTCCTTGCTTCCTTTTAATGTTTCATTCATTTTTTGTCAGTTTGCCTTTTTTCTTTGATTTACTTTCTTTCTTAAATTCTATTTTTCTTTACAAAGTCCTTCTTTCTTTCTCAGTTTTCCCCCAAGTTTTTAGTTTTCTGCATTTTTTTCTCCAGTTTCCTTCCTTCGATTCCTTCCTAGCATTTTTTGTTGTTGATTGGAATGGTTTCTGTTGCATAAAATAATGTGGTCCACGATGAATACTGCGTGCATGAAATCAATGACGTACTCACATTCTAAATCAAAGTAAATTGCAATTAACTAAGCACTGTGATATTCACCTGGTAAAAGTAAAGCAAAAGCCAATTGAATGACTATCGGATCTGTCATTATCAAATACGGCTTTTTAATTTCAAACCAGTTCCACCATGAATGACCTTTCCAAATAACTAGCTAATTTTATGGTAGAAAATTAATTTCTTTTCCTCCTGATTGGCCCGTATTGATTACTTATTTCAGAGTCACTGAGAGGACTATTCCAGTCACTCTTTGTCTAAAGACCAAACTAAACGCTACGTAGAAACTACGAGAAAGGTAGGTTGGAAACTATTTGTCTTGCTTTATATTAGAGTGATTTTACCTCCTCGTGAATGAATAGTCAACGTAATACATAACTAATTCCATTGTTTTCTTTTGTTTTACTTGGGCTGTTAAAACTAGTTAAACTCACTCTATTGATTTACACTACACTACATTCTGTGTATATATTACTCTAGGGAAATACTTTTTTACTGCGATAAAACTAGAAGAAATTCAGCATACAGCTAATAAATTAAAAATGCAAACTGAACGAAATAAGAATAAACGACGAGCAAACATTCTTTCTTTCTTTTTTTCTAAAAATCACAAAACTAAAAACCGAGAAAAAAAATCGACTTGAAAAAATAAATGAATAGAAAAAGTGTGATTCAAAGTAAAATATATTCTACGTCAAGAAAAACTAATTCAGAGAGAACTTTTTCAGTGCTTTATGGCACATTGGAGCGATTTCACTTAATGCTTAACCGATGTGCAATATAGTCAAATAGTCACAAAAGAAAACCGGTGGAAATCATGGTGAGATCTGCTAAGTTTAGTTCTATTTGTCGACTTTTAATTTAAATATAACAAGTAAATGAAAAAGGACGACGAAAAGTAATGCCAAAGAAAGCGAGAGTTAAAATGACAAAAGCAAAATTAAATCAGAACAAAACAAATAAACTTCATTAAACATGAATGATTCATATTTCAGCAGGTTAAATCACCCAAAACCATGATGAACGTCGTGATTCACTTCTACGTGGTCCTTGTTTTCGTTTGTGGTAGCCACGCCTTGCCAAAGAAAGAAAAGCTCAATGACAGTAACCTGAATACTTGTCTTTTTGACTGTGGACGCTGTGTGGGAATCCTTGGGGAGGATAAATATAAACGCGATGCTTGTATGGAAAAGTGCGAGGAAACGAATGGAGCCAGCAGAGATCCTGACTGTAAAAATTCGGATTTCGTGAAAGTTGATAAGTTGGATGCATGTCTTAATGCTTGTGCACACTGTACGTTTATCCATGGGAAGAGTGTTTATATAGGCGGTGCTTGCTTGAAAGAATGTAGGAAAACGAAAGGAGAGAGCATCGATCCTGAATGTAAAAATCCAGAGTTCCTTATGACTGAAAAAGAGAGGGAGTGTCTTGCTAGTTGTAAAGAGTGTTGTTTGGAAGATTACGAAAATTATAATCACGTTATTTGCAGGTCAAAGTGCAGGTATACAAAAGGAGCTAGCAATGATCCCGACTGCACAAAGTTCCAAAGGAAATCCGGGAAGAAACATGGCATTAATCGAAAGAATTCGTTTTTACACAGAAATAAGAACCTATTTAAGAACCTAGATTACCTGAGTAGGTGTGGATGAGAATAAATYGTAAATCAATATATTTATCGTGATACACGGAATCTTTCAATGTAGAAATGTAGTAATAAAGGCAGTCTATCACTATAGTCGGAAGTGTTAATCATTCTTTCATAATAAGGCTATCACAAACATGCACGTAGTAGGAATATGAATGGGGGGGGGGGGATGCGTAAAAAAATTGACGTCTTATGAAACTCCTGAATCAAAGCTTTGCGCATGCTGAGAACGAAAAAAGAATCAATAGCACACGTTACGCTAAAAATCATTGGTCTTGAGGGTTTATCAGTCATGCGCAAAAAACAAAACGCAGTCTTTTTTAAGCATTACAAAGCCAAACGTTCAATCTGGAGTGAGAGATCAAGTCAAAAAGCCTGTCTTCAAAATTGTTTACACGCAATCAATAAATCCTTCTCGCACTTACTAATTGAATAAGTTAATTGATAACAACAGGTTACACGTAATTAGCTGGACGCCAATTAACGGTAGGTGTATAAGTTTATACTAAATCTGATTCTATTGTTCTGATAGTTCATTTGTAGATGCATAAATTACTCCCACGCACCTCCCACTTTTGCTACAGGACTATAAAATGTGTCGTTCATCTGGATCAATCATTCATTACTCATCTTGCATCAGATAAG